CCCCCCCCCCCGCTCCATGTCTGGCTGCTTGCCCCCTCCCGCCTGGCTGCTTGCCACCCCCACAGGAGTACACTTAAGAAGGAGGCCACCAGGGGTACAGTTATTAAAAAAGGCTGAAAACCCTGCTCTAAAATATGTCACACTGTTTCAGTTGGGCTGCTTTCTAAACTAGAAGTAGTGCAAGTAGGCAAAATAATCAGCCTGCCTACAACACTGTACAAACGTAGCTACACTATTTCTGATTTTGGAGGCAGTCTGTGTGAAGCAATGCACACAGTACTTGGGGCTGATATTTCCAGGCACAGTGGGCACTTTTACACATGCTCTGGGGATGGAGCGGCGCTTTAATTAATTTAATTAAAACGCTGCCACATCTTGTGTATCAGCATCCCTGCACTTAAAAATGGCAGCAGGCATGCTTGACCTTTGAAAAAGCTTTAGTTCAAATGCCCCTACCACCATTTTTAAGTGTAGGGATGCTGATACACGAGACTCAGGAGGCTGCTGGAGCGCGGTAATTGCCGCGATTAACTGAGTCTACTCCAATGTGCTGGAATTCCAGCATGTCGGAGCAGCCTTCATGTTTGTGTATGGGCACCCAGTAAGTTTACTATACAGGCCTGGCCCAATTTTTGCCACAGCTTAAGTGCTGACATATTTTTAAAGTATCACATTTATTTGTTGCTCTAAGATTGCATGACATATTTAGGAGCCCCTGTGTAACACAACCTCCTTTGCTGCAAGATCTCTGCTTATTAAAGCTTTGCCTTTAACTTCTGTCACCAGGATCCAAATCAAAACACTCCTGACAACTATTTCTCCATTGCTGTGATTGCCATATTATTTATCATTTCACTAGGAACACCTGAGTGAAAACCAAATCCTGCTTTTCATTTAAAAACAGCTGACCAATTTCAAACTGTACTATTTGTTTCACAAAGGATGTAGGTTTTCATGTAGTTTATTACCTGTATAGCTACTTTCTTCATGCTGTCTGGTGGAACATCTTTGAGACTAAGTGTGGCAGTTGAATAGGCTGGCTGTCCTGAAATGAATACTTCATCTTGGCCTTGGTCTCCTGGAGTTGATGCCTGGGGATGCTTTAAATAGGATAGAAAAAGTAAGCATGTATTTCTTCAAATTAACAAGATGACTAAAAAAAGTCCTTAAAAAGATTAAAATAAACTTCTGAATCCCTTTATTTTCATATGTTTTTCTTGTACAGATGCTAAGTATATCATCATTTGAATTTATGCAGAGAACTTAAATTCTATCAGTGCTGCCATGCTCGTGACTTAACCCCAATTTTTAAGATTGAAACTGCTGAAACGCTTTGGCCAAAAACCAATATAGGTAGATTCATGAGAAAAGCCAACAACATTTCCATGGCTGACATACAAGTGTTAGTCAGATTAAGGCAAGTCTGTTTGACTTTTCTGCTAGATTAAGCAAACATACCATTATTCAGACCACTCAGAGTTGAGGATTTATTTCCTGTTTTTCTTACTGGCTAATATAAAAATTTAATTTCCTTAAATGCCTTTAAACATCTTTAAAAATGACATGCTAAACCACAATTTTAAAAAACCCAAACAAACAGCATAACTATATTTAGTTATTGTATCCCTTCTCAAATCTCTGTAAAGCTGGATCAGATTCAGAAACAAAGGAACATAATTTATTGTTTTAGCTAAGGAGAAGGGCAAACCAGAAAATCTAGTTACGCATAATCATTTGCCTATGAGAGCCAATTAGAAAACAACATTTCATTAGCAATATAGTAAGTGAAAAAGCCTACTTGTAAACAGGATAAAACATATGAACTTAAGGCAGTTCAAGTGGTTGGGTTTAGAACTATGAACTCCCACAACACAAAATGTAACTACTGTACTTTATAGTTAGGACAATATTTTCCATATACAAGGTGGCAAAACTATTTAACAACTGATTTAAAAAACAAACTTCAAGGCTCCTTTTTCCCCGTTTACATATTGCAATATCCTACAGTAGGTACTCACACGGACAATGTGCACACCAGAACCTCTTCCGTCTGCAACACTCAAGGCAACACTACCCTGGCTGCCATGCAGATCCCTAGAGCTGCCATAGTGAAAGCTGCTAACTGCAGCATAATTGGAATTAAAGGACCTAGACAGCATGCTCTGAATAAAGAAGGGACAGATTTAACACAGAGATTAGTGCAGCATGCACAAACCACAAGACATGTTATACAGAGACCAATACAAACACATATTCCATGTCATGCAAAAATAAATACCATGCAAACAAAGAATTGACATTGCCACTGTGAAGTGCAGAGAGCAACTCAGTGACATTATTTATCACAGTTGACCTTTATTTAAAATCAACATGCAACCTAACATAGTGCACACACAAAATTACATGTAAAGTTATTCACATGTATGTGCGCTCAGGAAAACAAAGCTGCTTTATTTATCTAAACTGTCAGATTAAGTATGCACAATATATGATGTGTATATGTTGATGGAAATTAAAACCTGATAGCCAAGGTGCCTTTCAGAGCCATTGTTTTTTTTTTTTTTGACTTTCAATGATGTTTAGTACAAATAAAAATTTCTCCAACAATTGAAGTTTTATGTTTTTTTCTTTTGTTTTTTGTACCCTACCAACAGAACAGGAACATATTATCAGTGTCTAACATGCACTTCAAGATGTATTTTATTGAACAAATAGATTCCACTCTTAGACAGCACTAACAAGGACCTCCTAGGCCATGGAATTCAATCTCCCAGTACTGCAGAAAACCCAACAGGTAATGTACGTTTCAGAATATTTTGAGGCAATTGTTTTTGAGCTACACCACCTTGCAACACTGACAAGGATTTCAAAAATAAAAGCAGAAGGAACATCATCACCTTGCAAGCACAGATATTTATAGTTACAAGGGCAAAACAGGGACACCAAAATAAATGGAAGAAAATCCCCAAATTATTCAAATTAACAAATGAACTAGACCTATTATTTCAACACTGACACAGAAGCCACAGCATGATATTACTGCAAACAAAGTTACATTAACAACATTACAGGTAAGCTATAAAATGTCAAAGAGAGGAAGTTTTGCTTGTTCCTATAAAATTTCTTTAAGTTATAATATCGTTGGATGGAACTATTATAACAAGTCTTATGAGAACTCACTGCTTGCTTTTCTTCACCACACAGAGTACTACTTTTCTGAATGCACTTCACCAGGTAGACTATACTGACCATTTCAGGGCGAGGCACACACAGTGGAAGAAAACTGATGCAGGTCAGCTTTCATCCATAGGGCAAGAGCATATATATAGGGCAGTTCCCACAGAGCAGCTAACATACTGCCCCTTGTTAACTTTGTGGTAATTTGCTGCGTATGACCATATGGTCAGATTAGACATGTTTAAACTACAACAGCCATAAGCAGAAAAAGTCAACAGGCATTCTTCTCCATGCGGGATACTCCATCTGGGGCCACTAATCATTGGAAAATTCTAAAAAAGTTATACTCACTCAAGACTACCTGGGTTTTTTCTGTTAGCACTCACCTTGGCCTGCTGGCATGCTCTTTGAGTTATAGAGACTTGCGGTAAGTTTGCCTCAATTTCCTCTTCTGTCACCTATAACGTATTTCATCAGAACCATCTGTCAGGTGACAGATGAGGAAATCACAAGCCTAGTGACTTGTACAAGCATTCAGCTAAATATCTAACAGTACTTTACCCTCTCAAAATTGCACCCATAGTCTCTCTCTCTCCAGTAACCATGCTGTTGGGATAAAGTAGGGAAACAAAGGCTCCCCAACTCTGGGTTCTGGCTAAGGGACCTTGAATTAAACCAACTAAAGATGTTGTTTCTCAGTCCCTCAGGGCTTCAGACTGCTTCCTACTCTACCTCTTAAAGGAGTGCTCTCTCATTAGTCTTGTTACTCTTCCTCCTTAATTGCACTACCAGCTCCCCTGAAGTCTGTTACCTCTCAAAACTAGTCTACCTCTCTGAGCTTCCTCTAAATAGCTCCTCAGCTTCTCTATTTTATAGGCTCTCTTTACTTCCATTAGGTCCAAGTAACAATGTCATCTCCCACTCTTTCACTACCAGCTCCTGGACTCTTATGAACCCAACAGTACAGTGTCAGTAAAGTTAGGCTTCCTACCGAGGGCACCTGATAAATTAATACCACAACCTGCAGACAGTTTCTTTCTCTGCCATACTACTTGCTTCCCACAGAGTCACAGGAACCATCTGTTCTCCTTCCCAGCCAACCCCCAGTTCCTGGGCTCTCAGCCTCTTTAGACCAGTATCTACCAAAAGTAATCTGATCTAAGATGGCCAGTCCTAAACTCTTAGAAGGAACAGCAAAGAACATTTTGGACTAAGGACAATAGACTGTGTAGCCCTCAGATACGGCACTTTCTTCTGCTAAACCTGGGAGTACCATTCTGATGGGAAGCATAAAATGGAAGAGAAGTGTACATGCTGACAACACGCAAAACCAGTTACCCTTCTTCCCCAAGTAACTTGTCCTTTTCAAAGTTGTCTGTGCATCTATCCAACTGCAGGAACCTAGCAAACATTCCAATGCCCCAGAAGGAGGAATTAATTCTAATTAAGTAAAAACGTGTCTTTCCAAAGACAACATGAGACCCAAGTAATGAAAAAATATAGAACTGTGTGAACAGAAGTCCAGGTAGTAGTCTTGCAGTTATGGGAAGCTAAGGAAACATTGTAGTAGACAACCAATGTTGTCTCTCCCAACAGATAAAAACAAGCCCGGAAGATACTATCATCATAGTTAAGACAAATATTCATCAAATTATCTAAATGATTTCACCCTACTTCTTCTATATCAAGCTCCAATAAAACAACAAGAATAAGAACAACAATGCTAGCAAGAGATCAAGAACAGGTTAAATAGTTGAATTAAATAAAGGAAGAGTTTGCTGATTAGCTGCCTTGGTTAAGTGGAGGTTTGACTGAAAGGAAGAGCCAGCTCAGTAGCTTCTTAGAGGTACCAGGCAGATGAAAGAAATCTTACCTATACCTATGCAACATATATTCTGCATTGCAATATAGGCATGCATACCCTCCAAACAGAAACATGTAACACATTCATGTGCTTTCAGAATCAGTGGCAGTGTTCTGTCCTTCCTCTACAAGAGCAAGACTTGCACATCTGGTGCAAATGCAACAGGCTCCTTTACCAGGAACTTCCATGTCTATGCAAGAACTAGACCAATGGTTCAGGAGTAGGGGGGCTGTGAGCAGGTTTCAGGGGGCCCGCCAAAATAAACCCAAGAACAGGTGTCACTGACATGGCAGAATCCCCAGCACACCTGCCTAGTAGCAACTCTAGCTAGCAGTGCCTCACCACCCACTGTCCCCCATGGGCTGCCCAAGTCCCGGCCCGCACCCAGGTAAGCGCAGGCATGGCTGCTGCCCCAGGCACACCCAGGGCACCGGCTGGGAGCCAAGGGGGCTGGCAGAGCAGAGCAAGGATTGCACACCCCCAGCAGCATAGGAACCATACACACTGGGGAGTGCTGTGTCCCTGCCCAGCCTGGCCTGGCAGAGTGCTTGGGTGAAAGTTTCCATGCCCTCAAATTCTCAAGAAGGGAAAGCACCACTGGGGTCCCCCCAGCCCTGCCCTGCCCTGCCCACCCCTATATACAAAGCACAAAAGAGATTAAATTTTAAAGGGGTTATTATATATCTATATCTATCTCCCCATCTCTTTCATTCTCAGCTTAACACCCATTTATGTGGTTTGGAATTTAAAGGAAGAAACAGTTCATCCCATCCACATATGAGCATTTTTCTTCTTAATTTTCCTCACAGGCTGTGCTCTGCATTAGTACCTTTCCTGGAAGAGCCAGAATTGCTTTAAGAAAGTTAAGAAGTAGGTCTTTTTTTTAAATGGGGAAACTGAGGCACAGAACTTTTCAAGGAGCTTTCCCAAGTTTACATAGAAACCCAATGACGGAGTTGGGAACAGAGTTTAGATTTTCCACTCTGTTTCTTAACCTCATCACTGTTCCCCCGTGGTGGAGTGCGGCCTGACCATGACTCGTCAATATGTGTTTAAGAAAGTGTTAAGCTTGTCTAATGCGAGCTTCACAACATGTTAACAGATTTTTAAACATCCCCTATTTTCTAAATCTAAATATGAGCAGTATGCATGAATGAATGTTAGCTGGAAACCTTACCTGGGAAGAAAAATGCTGTTCCTACTGTCATCTCCCATATCTCAGAAGTCGATAGGAGTGACTCTTGTAGTCTTTTTTGTATTTTTATTATCCTTTTATTTTTCTATTATGCACTATGGGTGTGTGCTTAATTGTATAATTATCATTTTAATACAGCTATGAATCTACTGAATATGCAGAAAAACAGTTGTGCCTCAGGTGGGTCATGTAGGTTTTATAGCTTGCTGGGGGGGTGGGGGGGAGAGGGGTTCAGAGATCAGAGATTTTGGTTCTGAAGGGCAGGTCCCTCCATGTCTGTCCACGTGCACATTCCAGGGAGAGATGCCTTCCCTAAAGCAGTGATAGTGCTTATGGGCTTATGATGTCAGGGAGAGAGTACCATGAAACATACTCCCAAATCACCATGTTTTCATAGCGTTGGAGTGACAGTCCAGGAAAAATGCAAGAGGATTTTTTATGGCTGACCCTTTATTGGACTAAATGTATAGATGGTAGAAACACACAGGATCTTTCCTACGCTCATCTATGTCACTTCCTGCAACTGGTCCAATGAAAGATACCACCCACAAAAATACCTGCTGTATCTTTTCATTTTTGTTCACTGAGTCCTGACTGGGGTTAGAGATGGTGCCATTATAAAAAGTGTGCAAGGTCACAGGCATAAATATTTTAAGGTTACTTAAACTAAAACAACGGCTGGTTACAAGAGCCAACAAGAAATTCTCAGAAACGAGGCAAGAAAATGTCCCCAAGGTATCTGCTACACTTCACAGAAATAAAGAACAGAGGCATTTCGGAACTAAATTCTTCTTCTTCTTCTTTTTTTTTTTTTTTTAAATAACCTTGGCTCCAAATATGGGCCAATAGGCGTGGCTTCCCTTAAAGATCCCTACAACTTGGAGGCCCAGATGGTATACTTCCATAAGCATGAATATGCAGAGAAC